GCGCGCGCGCGCGTGCGTGCGCGTGCGCGTGTGAATGTCTTTCTACACGTGTATGTGTGCATGTATGTTGTCTGTATGTCTGTATGTCTGTCTTTCTGTCTGTCTGCCTGTTTGTCTGGTGTATGTGTTGGTGTATGCATGCATGCATGCTTCTATGCATGTATGCATGTACGCATGTACGAATGTATGCATGTATGCATGTATGCATGCATGCATGCATGCATGGATGTATGTATGTATGTATGTATGTAAATGTGTGTGTAAGTATGTCTGTACATATGTCTGTCAGTCTGCCTCTCTGTCTCTTTGTCTGTCTGTTTGTCTGTCCGTCCGTCCGTCGGTCTGTCTGTCTGTCTCTCTCTCTGTCTCTCTGTCTGTCTCGGTCTGTCTCTGTCTGTCTCTCTCTATCTCAGTCTCAGTCTCTGTCTCTGTCTCTGTTTGTCTCTGTCTGTCTGTCTGTCTGTCTGTCTGTCTCTTTCAGTCCGTCTCTCTGTCTGCCTGTACACATGCATGCACCCATGCGAGTATGCAAACTAACTGGTACCTGCGCATGCACACACACACACACACCCACACACACATGCGGAGACTTTTCCATCCTGCTAAATTCGGCTGAACACTGCCAACTGAGTTGCTGCGCTTTCCCCAGCAATGGGTCCTGCACATGACTGGTTTGGGCGTTCGGCCGGATGGGGGTTCAAGCAGCATCTTGCTCATCGCCTCTTCTACATTATGAGCCTTGTTCAAAGTGCTGCTTCGAGATTCCAATCATTCTGTAGAGCCCCAGCCATTGGATTTGTTGGCTTGGCCGCCAAGCGTCTTAACTCTTTGGACATTCTACTCTTTCAGGACAACAGGCCGTGGCTCGAATGGAAGGAGCCCTTGTTTGAAATACAGGATACTGAATCCTCACTCAGCATCGGAGGACAGTCAGGCCTCCGACACGACCTGCGTAGCGATCATCGCCTTCCTGGATTGCAGGGGTCCCCGGGCTTTGAACTACTTGCGAGTCCGGATGAGTGCGTCATTCCTCTGGTTGGTTTGTTGTTGACGACGATGGAAACGGTGATTGATGATGGCAGCGCGAGGGTCTCATCCTTCTTAGGATCCGAAGCCCCAATTGTGGCGATCACTGCTGCTGGGCGGATTAAGGATTGCTAAAGCCTGGTACGTCAAAGGCCTGAAAGAGTAAGTAGATGTACTGTGCGAGTAACGTGTTCGCCCGACGTGCCTCAAGGAGCTCCCCCAACCTCTGCAACCCACAACCCCGAAACCTTGAAGCTGCCGAACTCCAAATTGCTGAGCATCATGAAGCGGCGTAGTCGGTACAGCGAACTGTCGAGGTCCTCGGCCCCCACGATGGAGACCGACATTGGGGCGTCGAAAACAGTTGGTTGAGCTTGCAGCACGGTTCAACTTGTGTTCAAGCCGCTAGCTGCTAGACGTGTCTAGAGGAGATCTTACTCACGTCGGAACAAAGTCAAAGCAAGCAGGGCCAGACTTGAAGAATCGGCTTCTTTTCGTTGACACGATGATTGCCCTGACTGGGCGGCTCGTTGAGCTACCAGAGCAGGTATGGCGTTAGCATGGCCAACACAGGGTTTTGCTTTGGCTACTGCACTCTGCTGCTTCTTCTCGTCTCCACTGTGCCCTTATTGCAGGACGCGTTCGGCGAGACTCAGTTGTATTTGACATCCCGCCCACGTACCCCTGAACCTCAAACAACCTCAGAGTCGGAGCTCTTTGTTCAGTTCGCAGTCAAGAGTTCAGCCTGACATACCCCCGTTCCCTTCCAAGCAGCAACGGCTGGAGGCGTGGTCGTCAACCAAGCATGCTGGCAAGCGCTGCTTGCCGTGATGCGTTCTGACGGATTCCTTAGGCACGTTGTCAACGAGAACCTTGTCATTGTTCCCAATCCAGCAGCACACGTCCACGAACAACTGAAACCGCTTCCGCAGTACTCAGGCCCCTTTTCCGGAGATCATCACAGGACAATTGAATGTCAAGTTTGCAGTACGAGTCAATAAGAACACTTACATACCTTAGCCTGGCCACATCTTCAGAAGCTCACGGACAATCGCTCTGCCATTCTGGGAGATCATGGACCAATCCTGCAAAACTGGATTGCAGAGTGCCACTGTCAATACAGCTTCCCTGTCCATCCGTCCGGACGAAAGCGGGTCACCAAAGTCTTTGCAGAACTTACACGGACGGAAGAAACAGAACCTGCAGGCCAACAGCCCGACGACCCAGACACAACTTGTGAAATCGCTCTATGTTTGAACTATCAGGAACTGTGCGAAAAATCTGGGGCACCAAAATCTCCGACGAAATAAATCCGGAGTCTTTCTACACCTGGGCTATGCATATGAATCCGTAGTCTTGGACGTAATGCCTGGCTGTAGCTATTTGCGGCTGAGATCTGAAGGCCACATTTTTTTGGAGGGTTCTGGTAAGATGATGGTCATGCAATAAACGTGTAACATGAACCGAACAACCACGAAGCGCGCTGTCGACCAACACTCTCGTTTTGAAACTGCAGGGACTCTAGTTCGAGAGCAAGCAGCCGCCCTCAAGTCTTCACCCTGTAAACTTATAAGACCGAGTGATGCGTCCTCGTTCGCGAACACAAAGTTGCCCCGCTTGATTGCGGCAGTCGTTCGAGCAAGGTCCTTGTTTAGCTGTTCTTGAACAAATGCAACAGGTGTTGTAACAGGTGTGGACTGGCCATGGCCAGACAGACGAGGTCATTTGCTGGACAGCTAAACATCACAGGAAAGGCACGAGCGATGGTGAAGACACCCTTGCAGTACTAGCACTGGCATTGGCAACAGCAGCTGCTAGTAACAGTGGTAGCACTTGCAGCACTGGCACATGTACTAGCAGTGGCACCAGTAGCTGTAGAAGCATGGCATTTGCAGAAGCAGTAGCAGTAGCAGCAGCAGTAGAAACAGCAGCAGTAGCAGCAAGCAGTAGCAGTGGCAGTAGTAGTAGCAGTCTGGTAGCAGTAGTAGCGGTAGTAACAGTAGCAGTAGTAGCAGTTTTGTCAGTAGTGGTCACCGTAGCAGCAGCGGTCAACTTGGTAACGGTGGCAGCAGCCGTGGCCATAGCAGCAGCAGCAGCAGAAGTAGTAGTATCAGGGAAAGCACTAGCACAAGCACCAGGAGTAGAAGTCGTAGAGTTATAGCTCTTGGGCTAACAACCGACCCGCTCTCCGGCAAATAAATCAACATCTTGATGGACGCGTGGTGAGAGGTTTTCTGGTCCCGAAAGACGTCCACCAAAAAATGCCGAGACACTTGGTCATGCCAGAACGGTGGGTAGCCGCACAGCCTGACCATGAATGCGGAATGCTGCAGATCCGTTTCGCAAACCTCTCCGGCGTACTGGTTTCGTGCACTGGCGCTCTATCTAGGCATCCGAACTTCCATCAAGCCAAAGGCACGTGCTACGGTCTGCTGGCCATGATGGCAACAATATGCAGCCAAGACAGGAACAGCAAGAATCATGCACAGAGTCAGGATGATAGCAATAGTAGTGCTGGGGCAAAGCGAACAACAAAGACCGCAGTCAACGACAGCCATCATATTGCTCACCTCAATGACCGCCGTCTTTCTGCTAGCAACATCACAACCATCATCATCACCATCACAGTCATGAGAATCATTATGGTTCAAGTCGTCGCCAGTACCTTGTTGATCATCATCAGGATCCACGCCACGAGCATTTCCGACCGCTCCATCATTAGCAGCAGCAGCAGCAGCAGCAGCAGCAGCTGCAGCGTCAGCAGTGGCGCAGTCAGTCACTTCACCGGTTGTCGTGAAAGGAGCTTTGACTCATGATGTTAGCTGAAGCACACGGCACGTGGCAGCAGATAGCCTCAACTTTTTTCATCCATCCCTGAGCGCCAAGATGGACAGCAGCAACAACAGATTTCTGCCTGCCACCCGTACCCCGAAGCATGAGCGGGCCAAATTCAACCCAAACTCAGCAATCAAGCTTCAAACAAGCGGCAGTAGATACGTCAATACTCCACAACTCCAGATGTCTGCGGCCAAGTCGTACCGGCCGTTTAACACCTGCGAAATTCTTACACAGCTTTAGGACATGCAAATCTTGGGTTTCGCAGGATGGAACTGCATATTTTCGGCGCTGCTTAGGGTGACGATTCAGCTGCAGTTGTGACAAGTGGGTTTGGAAGGGCTAAGGCTGCAAACTTACGATGCTGACAGAGGCAGGAGGAGGGGAGCAGCGGAAGCAAAGCATTCTCGATTGAGGATGGTGCTAGTGGCTCTGCTAGTTAGGGTTCGAGCTCACCCGTAACCACACTCCCTGGGTTGGTCTCTGGGGGTTGAGAGTTCAGACTGAGATCGAGAAACCTCTAGACCTAGACCAGCAAGAGCAAGTTTACAATGCAAACGACCCAAGCATGCCCTCACAAGGGCATGCTGCGCCTGCGGAGCCATGTATGGCAGCGTCCCCATCTTAGAAGAGGGTGCAGGGCAATGCTGGGCCTCTAAAAGAAAAATAATCGACGATATCAGATATCAGTTCTTTCTTTGACGCCCATTCTCAGACAAACGTCGCAGCATCAAGGTCCAGGGCTCCAGGACTCTTCAAGACGTTCGCTCGTCTCAAGCTGCAACAAGGACGACGTCCCACACCGACTACACAAAAGCCAACCCACACTTCCGATCATTGCGCTGAGCCCGAGGCCTATATAAGCCCTCCACTTTCCACATGTACTGCATACCCGGTATGCGGTACATGTGGAAAGTGGAGGGCTTAGGCCTCGGGCTCAGCGCATACCCCGAGTCTGCACCAACCTTCAGCCTCAAACTCAACGAAATTCTCAACACAAATAAAATTTGACTCCTAGACTTGAAGCATAAGCCCTAAAGTTGACATACAGTCCCAGATCAAGACCAGTCGCCGTGCCACGGAGCTCAGAGCCCGAAGCGCAAAGTGCTGAGAGGCCGAAATCCGTCACCTCTCAAAGGAGGATTGTCAGCTTGGTCGGGAGCTGGGCTTTGGGAGGTTGTTCAGCAAGCAACCACGGTTTGCGGTAGTTTGGGGAGAACGTCTGTTGCTCTGGCTTTCCGGGCTTTGGCTCAGAGCTTTGATATTTCTGGGTGTTAAGCACTGGCCGGGACCTTGCGGATCAGCTTGGCCAACCAGCTGAGTTCGAGCAGCGAATCAGCTGCGACATCGGTGAGCTGGATTTCTCCAACCGGTACAAGGGCTTGCATAGTAGGACATTGTCTGGAAAGGTCAGGGTCTGGGCACTGCAGGCCAGCTTACCGCACAACCCCTCCCCACATGCATCAAAGCTCTCGTGCTCTGCGCCTTTACGACGTTCTCCCTGATTGGCCGCCGGTGCAGCAGCAGAAGGTTCTCTGGCTTCAGATCCCGATGGCAGATGGAACAGCTATGCAAGTAGGCGACGGCTTGGAAGACCTGCCAAAGGCTCAACTCGACAGCTCCACTTCCCGCCCTTGGACGCTCTTCCCGAAGCCCAGACATTGCGACATCAACACTGGCCACTGCGAGCCGAGACAATGCCGAAGCACCATGCCCATCCCATGCTGGCCTGGCGCATCACCAGAACTGCCTGCGCTGGATGGCAAGCTGCGGGCTCAGGCTCATGATAGAGGCCCACAGGAAAAGGACAGCCAAGGTGTAATCACCATGTGAAGTCTACTCTTTCTCGCCTCACGCAGGGATGGCAAAGCCTCGGTCCCCTGAGCTCCAAACTGTGAAGCTCGGAGCCGGATTCGCAAACTATGTGCCAACGCTTGAACCCAACATTTCAATCACCTAAGCCCCTACCCAACACCGGTCACTCCGAAGACCACCGACGAGCACAGATGGCCTGAGCCTCGCTGTGAGTGCCTTGTTCCAACAGGAAGGACACCTCGACAAGCAGTGCTGTCCTTTCTTGACAGGCTTTCGGTCTTGGGGGCATCTTAAAGCAAGGAGCCAGAGAGGAGCGACAGAGTGACCGGCTACACTCCACTTGGCATGGAGGTTCGGGCTCCGACAAGGTAGGCAGGACTGGAGGAGTCATTCTGGCCACACGGCTCTATCGGATCCAGGTCACGAGTTCTCCTCCCTGGCAGAGCTCCATGACCATGTACACAAAGGCATCGTCTTCGTAGGTTTCATGGAGCCTCACTACCTGGGATTCGGAGCATCTGCAGCCATTCAAGCGAACACACCCGAAAACATCGCGCAAACCAGTGCCACCCGGTCACATACTCTCCCTTCTGCACCAGCTTCATGATGGAGACCTGAAGGCCACGGGCTTAAAACCATGATAGGCCAGGGTACAAAAACATGTGCAGGAGCAACACCGAGCAATCGCAGTGCCTCACCTTTCCTTACTTGGACGACCCAAGACCCAAGCCTCGAGTCCCCGACCGGGCCTCTTGTTGCAGTCTCTCCTTGTCCCGTCGCCGAAGCTGGCGTGATGCCGAGGCCGGCAGCTTCGGCACAGACTGGTGGCGGGAAGGAGGGGCACATATTGCAATTGAATTTCTGCGCAGATTCCGTGTCCAAGATCGCCACTGCAACTGCGAAGACTGACTACACAGTGAATGGCAGACTGTGTCCACAACTGCATCACTACAGTGCCTACAAATTCAACAAAACATGATTGTAAACAGGCGTGGCACTAGCAAAAGGAAAAGCAAAGTGGTTCTGCAGTTGTAACCATCGTCGTCGTCTTAACATCTGACGACGGCACAAACTCGGTTGGTACTACTGTGGCTTTCGATATGCCTACCACATCCTATCACTCTACTCCTTTCGCAACTGCATTTCCGGCTCGCACGTATGCGAGGGCCTTGATGGCAACCCGCTCACCGCTCTTCGTGCAGACCGCCTGCGGGGAGAACGTGCTGGCAGAAAGAGCACCACCGCAGGAAATGCAGCCTTGAAGCATTTGTCCGGTTCCGGTGATTACTCGCTACTGGTTTCTTGCGGCTTTTGCTGTTCTTGTGTGCGGGTTGCTTCTGAAGTTACGGCCACTGGTGCTGGCACTGCGTGATGACGATCTGGGTGATGTTGCTTCTCTTCTGCTTGAAATCCGGGCGAAACTTAACCCCCTCCCTAAACATGCAGCCCTAAGCCCGAAGTACGACAAATCTTAGACCCCAAACGCCAAGACCCAACCCGGAACCCCTTAAATCCCAAACCGTTTCTTTCCGGCTTTTGCTTGCCCTAAAGACTCAGGCAAGTTGGTAGCCCAAGTGCCTGGGAGACAAATCCAAAGCCGCCTGCACCTCAGAAGAATCTTTGCTGAAGCTCTCAGGGTTCGCGTCGCAAGGGGGGCAGGCACGGCTTGGTCCAACTGCAGCAACGAGAGTGGCGCAACTTCCACCAAGCAGCTGATCTTGCTTCCTTGTTTCACATAGTTCGACCAGACGTTACCTGCCGAGGATCTGCATCAGCTGCCACACTTCTTCCACAACCACCACCACCACGACGCCTACTAAGTGACGACGACTACTACTGCTACTGC